CTAATGGTGTAAGAATAAGTATAATGTAAACTTAATATGGACTTTAATGTTTGATACTAACATGTTTTATATTTGCTATCTTGTTCACTCTTTAATACTTTGCTTGTTAAATGACTAATCTTGATTTATGTTGTATAACACTTGGTACAACAAATGCTTGGCACTTTCATAGCCCATAATGTATGGTATAACCGACACCTGAGCTATGAAAGGAACTTGATTTGTTGTTAACATAAGTTATAATCATGAATGCTTGACGAGATTTACAAGTATTAGCATTAATTGAATAAGATGACTAATGTAATCATGTTAACAATATATAATCTGATTGGAACCTCCTTTGTGTGTGGTTTCCAATTCAATAATAAGAGGCTGCTGAGTCTAGCCACACAATCATACCTGTACGAAAATGAAAAAAAAAATTACAGTCTTTGATCATGTTAGGGCAAGACCCAACTCTCTATGCGTGTCCACAATGTAATCAATTTATTTTGAGAAGCCAATGGCTAAGACATTTAATTGGGTATGGTAGCTGGGTTTGGCCAAATAGTCATTCCCATATGACAAAGAAAAAAAATCATTACAATCTTGATTCTTGCTAAGGTAAGATTCAACTCTACTGGTCCAGCAGGACCCCAAGCTATTAGTACCTGCTGCAATGACCCAATTACAGTCTTGGATCCTACTAGGGTAAGACTTAACTCTAATGGTGCCAGTAAGATCCAATTTCATTAGGTCTTGGCTGCTATAATGACCTAACAACCCTGTCTGACTTACAAACATCAAAGATAACGCCCCCCACAGGCGATACTATGTCTGTTGGGTCTAGTTGGGAATTGACACATTTTGAAAGTGTTTCGGATCTAAATTGTCAACAAGACCCAACAACACTAGATTCAGCTACTAAAGCTAGATACAGCGGCTTGTGGCAGAGAAGGCCACGCTCTCAGTCGTAATTATTGACTAAAAATATAGCAATAGTTTCTATAGTGTTTTCTCAATATATAGCGAGGTAAATATGCAATTTTAAAGCTAATTGTTTATTGGTCCATAGTGCATTAATGCTTAATAAGTTCAGTGTAAATTGTCTTTCAATTCATAGTGCATTTATTTATAGTAGAAAACTCATGCAGAATTATGTTAATAATTATAATTTTTTTTAAATCAGAGCATTAAAAAAAGGATAAACTAGCACATACAAATTTTTAAAAAATAATATAGTTTGGTAAAAATATCACAATTGAAAATGGGTTATTTTAATCAAAGTGGTCAAAATAAAGAGGTATAAATTCCAAGGAAAAAAAGAGGAAAGAGAAAAGGAAAGAAAAGAATAAATAAATAAATAAGATCTCCAAGAGATTCTTGTAGCTTTAATTATAATATTTTTGGTAAATTAAAAGGGTTTTGACAATATAAATTTAATAATATTATTAATTATGATTGAAGTGAGCCACGTATGCTAAAAATAGCGAGCGGCTCTCAAAATTTTGAAATAAAGAATATCTTATTATAGGTGTCCTTTTAGGTGATTTAACGTGATTTTAGTCATTAGATTAAAGGAACTGCTATGATTTGTTAAAAGACAAAAGCTAAACTGAGATGCTGGTTTCAAAAGCTGTAAAAATTAGAATATACTAGCAAGGGCCCGCATTACGCCACAATTTAGATTAATTTTGTTTGAACAGCAAGAAAATATCCGTGAGTTGCTAACATTTGACTTTAGGTAAAAATATAATCTTTAATCTAATCTTATATAATTTGTAAAAGATAAGTATTTCATGGTAAAAATATAATCTTACTATCAATGTCTATTTCAAAGTTTTTCTTAAAAATCCAAGGAAAATTTTATAATCACACTACAATAACAAATAGTAATATGAGTCTAAATTAATAATAACTTTTCTAGTAGATTTATTTATTTTTTCTAACTAGGTTGCTTTTCTATGTTATGCTGCATAAAACTCTTTCACAATAATATTAAATTTAAATGATTGGTAAAAATATAATTTAATTTAAAAAATTATTTTTAAATAAAATTTTAAAAAAAATAATGAGATGATAATATATCGGATCAATCTAGATTTCATAGCTTAACCTATCAAAATTATGACCCGAGTCATACAGTTAATTGAGTTAAATAACTTTATTTTTTAAAATTATTTTTTATATAATTATACAAAAAAAATATATACACAAAATCAAGCACCAACTGATTTTTAAAATATTTTTTTTGGAGATAGTGATAAATCTAAAAAAATAAATTATGAATCGTAATTAAAAACTAATTAAACATGTCTAGAGTGACCTCCTTTTGTTTTTTAATTTTATTTTTTAATATTAAGTGACCTCCTTTTGTTTTTTAATATTAAATTTTTTTATTGATTTATTTTTTAAAATTTGCTAGTGTGTCACCCTTTAAAAATAATACAGCCTAGGCATCTACACCTGATTATGTTTTAGTAATTATAAATTCTTTTTTATTATCAAGTTATATAGTAATATAACATTACTTAACATTCTTAAAAACTTAAAAGAAAATTTTAAAAATGTGCCATGTGGGAAAAAAAACAGAACCATAAATGTTTCCTAAAAGAGAATGGGTGTAATTACTTGTGCCACTTTTATTACCACATTGTTGGTAATACTAAGAAATAAAGTTTACAAATGGAACATTTAAAAAACAAACGTGAACACATCCTCAAATTAACTCTACAATAAGAAAAATAAATAATTTTAGATAATATTTGATATTTCAAATAATATTAATTAGATTATATTAAACATGATTAAAATGGATTAGATATGATTAGATTGGAGAAATAATTGCATTGTGTTTGGTATATTTTGGATTGGAGTGAATAATTTGTCTTATTTTATTTTTAGTAGACATAAAATGAGATTTGTCAACCTAGAGTTTGTACCTAGATTGATATGAGTTTAAAAATAATAGAGAAAAGATTGACATGAGCTGACCTAGTCAAAAACTCGGGTCGACCTGTGACTCAATCATCTTGAGATAAAAAACACATGTTAACAAATCCATTGAATTTTTTTCTAAATAAGGTTGCTTTGCTTTTTTTTTTTTTAATTTAGATCAACTCGAGTTGATCTTCTAGACCTATAACCTAGGTTTTGTCTTAAGTCAACTCTTAAATTAAGTTTTAAAACTATAAAAATAACCACTTCAATCTATATATTAACCTTGATCAATCCTGATTAACCCTCTTGACATGTGACTTAAGGCAGCCCCTAAGTTGGTTTTATAGAAATATGATAATAATTATTTTTATCTTTATCTAAACCTAGATAAACTCGGGTTGACCTTCTCGACTCGTAACCAAGACTTACCCCATGTCAACTCTAAAGTTAGGTTTTTTAAAACTATAATAACAACTATTTTTATTTTTATATTTCTTTAAGTTAACCCGGGTTGATCATCCATACTCGTGACCTAGACCTTGTTCCGGGTTGACCTCTTAGTTAGATCTTAAAACTATGTTAATAATCATTTTTATTGTTATATTGACTATGGCCAACAATCAACTCGAACCTTGACTTGGTCTTAGTCTCGAGTCGACCTCTAAGTCGGGTTTTAGAACTATACTAATAATTAATTTTATCCTTACATTGATACAGGTCAAATGTCAACCTGACTTGTGAAGAAGACCTGACCCCAAGTCGACTCTTAAGTTGATTTTTAAAACTATAATAATAATAATAATTTTTATCTTTATATTGATTCAAGTCAATGGTCAACCTAACTTGTGACCTAAGTTTTTTTTTAAATCCACTCCCAAATCATGTTTTTTTAAATTATGATAATAATTAATTTTATTTTTATGTTGATTAAGATCAATCTAAGTTAACCCTTGAGTAGAGAATTGACAAGTTTTTCTTATTCTTTTTAGTGAGATAAAAATTTTACTACAAAAATAGCAATGAATAAAACAAAATTATTTTGTATTGTATATAGGTACACCAAACAACTTTATAAAAAATTATTATGAGTAGTTCATCAAATCTTGCATGCTAAATACTAACTTAGAGTTCAACATTTTAACCACTTCAATATGCAAATAATTATTGATCATTTATGTCCATCTTTTTTTAAACAAGAATTTTTTAAAAAAGAAATAGAAGACATGATGTCTAATGAGACTTGAATTTTAACTATATTTGTGATGATTGAAAAATTAGAAAAGAGGATTTTTTTTCAATTTATTTTCAACTAAAAAAATATAAAAAAATGCTATAAAACCTTTTATAATTCCTTTAATAGCCCCAAAATCATTAAAAAGTTTAAAATTAATTAAATAAAAAAACTTAATTAAACTTAATTTTTTTCAAAAATATTTAAAGAAAAAACTATTATTATCAAATTATTGTCGCTAGATGATATTTGTTAATGTAAAAATATCTAATATAGTTGCTAAAAAATTATTATATAAAATATTTTTTTATTATTTTCATATGATTTGTTTTTAGATAATTTTTTTAAAATTGTCCTTTTAAATCAAAATGGAAATAATAAAAAAAATATATAAAGATTTGCACGGAAAACAATTCTATTTTAAACTCTTTTTTTTAAATAACACTTCAAAATATCAATTCATAATGTGAGATCAATATATCAATTCAAATTAAATGTTCAAAAAGAAAAAATCAAATCAAATGGGCAACTTTCTTTCTCTTGCGCGTTATCATCATTCCGTAGAAACTGTCCGAAAGGGGACGCGTTTTGAGTGGTCAAAATCAATGATAGTACTCAGTGGGCAAGCCAGCAAGAAACGCAAGCCACACCATCATGAATGATGTCAGGCATATCACCTCAGCAAACCATCAGCTGGGAAAATGGGTGCCTTTTGTTGGCCTCTGAAGACTAAAATCATTTAACGCCGACGTTTCTTTGCTGACGCACCCTCTATTGCGTCACCTCAGTTTTTGCTACCTTAATTACTTTTATGCTCACAAGAGTCTTCATATTCTTGATGACCACCTACCAGAGGTGGGGGCATTTTCATCCTTTCGTCCTTAACGATGACAAAAGACCGCTATAAATCGCCTAGCCTCGAAGAATTTTCAAGACAAGAAACCATCATCAGCTCTACCACCACCACCAGGCAAATTTTGCATATTCCTTTGTTTTTAGTATCTCGATTGAAAAGGTTAATTCTTTAGGAGCCCGTTTTCTTTCTAGCTTTGATTTTCAACCGCCGGTACACTGTGTAATCTAACATGAAGAATGAGAAAGGCGAGGTGAGGGCTTCCAACACGGGCGAACTGGATATGGAGCAAGAAGACCAGAAGATGGAGCAGTTTTTCGCGTTGATTAGAAGTTTTCAGGAAGCACGTAAGAGAAGGGAAGATGAGTTGGAGGAGAAGCAAAAGAACAAGAAGGTAAGAAGGTTAAATGATGACGAACCGCAGTCAAGTTGGGTGCCATCTTTTGAATGGGAAGATTTCACGGAGGATATTAAGTTTAGAAGGCCTCCTCTCATCTTCCCTAGTCCTTGTAACGACAAGAAGATCTCAGATGACAAGAAACCTAAAGAAGAAGATGGTTTAGATCTCAGACTCACTCTATGATGTTGTACGTCGTAGTTCAATGAAATCAGTTAATCAATGCATGGTTTCTAACGTTGTCTTCTTTATTCTTTTGTTCATGTGGCATCCAGTTCTTATTTTATTTTCATCTGGATTTTTGGTTTTAGAATTGTATCATGGATTGAAAGGGGGTATGATTCCCCTACATTAGCTTTGAAAATCGATGTATAATATGACATTAAAACATTAAATAACAACATGTTTGCGAATTTCCATGGAGAAAACTTGTTGAAGGGGTTTGATCATAATATAAATGATAAAAAAAAGGGTTAAACTTCGTGTCCAAGAAAGCACACGTCTCCGCCCCATAAAGCGTTGAAGTGGACGAGTTCGGTGAACTGACTGTTAGATGCTTCAGAAATCAGAAAGCGCGAGTCTTTTGCGGACAGGAATCGAGAGGGGACCCCTTGCCGTGTATTTACGTTTGTCTGTTTTTTTTTTTTTTTTTTTAATTTTCTTTTCGTTAAGTGGCTTTTTCTCAGTATCAGTGGAAAATTTTGATTTCTCGGTGTGCACAAAATATCATTCGTTTGAGATCTCCATCTTCTTCGTTTTTTCTTTTTTATATGGTAGGCAATTCAAATTAAACAAATCAAAATATAAACAAGGAAAAGGTTAGGGTTTATATTGCTTATTATTTTTATTCTATATTCAAGAAAATTGAATTAATTTAAATTCAATAGAAGAGATTATATAAAAATATTATTATATCTTTAAAATATAAAATAAAATATTTTTCTTCAAACTCGTGATGCAGCAAGGATCAAGAGCTGGCAGGCTACAAGTAGTAGCTGTAAGTAGTAGCTGTAAATATTGAGAATTGACGAGCTACAATTATACAATTATTGAGAGTTTCATACATGTTAAAAAATTATTTTAATTTATAATTTAGATTGTTAAAAGATATTCATAAATTATTTTAATTTATAATTTAAATTGTTAAAAGATATTTATGATATAATTTATATAATTTTATATTATTCATATTTAAATTTTATTAAATAAATAAAAATAATAAAATTTAAATTTATAACTCACTATTAAAATTTTAATATTATCTCAAATAATTATTTCAATCTAGTAGTTTAAACAATTAAATAAAATTTATGGTTTATATAATTCTTTAATATTAACTAGAAAATAAAAATAAAAAATAAAATATAATTTGATAAATAAATCTATAATCTAGAAAAAAAACAAAAAGCATAATAATAATATCATGCTTAAGATTGAGATGATAATAAATATTAACCAACACTAAATATTATTACTATTACCAAATATTAAATATTATTGCTGTTAACAAATACGAAATGATATGAAAAAATATTGTTTAGTATAAGATTATCAAAATTATAAGTTTACAAGTAAAATTATATGAAATTTAATTAAAAATTTTATAACAAATAAAATTAGACTTTTACATTCAAAATTAATAAATTCAGTTAAAATAATCTAAAATCACAAGTTTAATACTAATTTTATGAGTTTAATAAAATTATAAATACTTCTTTGACTACCCTTTTTTCTTCAAAATTAAACCAAAAAAACCCTTAGCCCACTGTTACCTTTTCTCAAACCAACCAGCACATCTCTTTTCTTTTTTTTTTGACTTCATCTCCTTCTCTTACCTCTCTGTTTCTTGTTTATGTTCTTGTAAAAGTTGGAGTTGAGGTTGTGCTCTCGGCCATGCCACGACTGTCAGCTTCCATGGTGTTGATTTAGACCTCGGTTTCATGGTCTTCAATCGGGTCACCACATCTTCTCATCTCTCTCTCTCTCTCTCTCTCTCTCGTCCAATCATTGCCGACGCTTGTTAACTATAGCTACATTTATTTTTTTAGAAAAAGAAAGATAAAAATTCATTACAAATAAATAAATACATAGAATATTTTCAATTGGTGAGGTTCTTTCACGTGACTTCTACTTTTAATTTTTATTTTCTATTATTTTTGTCAATCATGTTAGGTTTGGGTTGGTTAATATTCTTGTATGGTGACCTCATGAATTCAATTAGTTATTTTGTTCTTGATGGAAAGAAGTTATTAACTTACATAAATAATTTGTTTATGGCTTGATTTTGATATGTAAAACCCTAGTTTCGCGATAAAAAAATAAAAAACGAATAAATTTACATGTCCATGACACATTTTTGGGAGATGATTGGCCATTGATTCATAAGAAAATACTGAAAAAAAATTAAGAAATAAAAAAGAAATTTGATTATTCAAGATAGACTTCCGAAGCTGTTAAAGTCATCCAAAAGTGTAAATGGGTTTCCATAATTAATTTTGTTCCCCAGATGCGCACAAGTTTCTAGAAAATCTTGCATACTAATCCATTTATTTTAATATGATAAAAATAAAGAGTACTCTTCACGAAATTAAGTGAAAAGTAGTTGTTGGCAGCTTGGAACCCAGAACTTCTACCATTTTTTTTTTTTATAACTTTTGTTATTATATTGTTTATTTTAATTTTACTTTAATTAATTTATATTGTTATTTACTATTTAATTAAAATTATCTATATTATTAGTTAAAAAATTTACTTATAGTTTTATTATTTGAATTTACAATTTTTTGTGTTATGTTAAAAAATATTTTTAATTTTATTTAATATCTAAAATGACAGTACATTACTATTAACAATATCCTAAAAGAAGTGATGTTTTTATTGTGTTTTACCTTGTATAACATTATTTTTTTAATTTTTTTTTAATTTTTTATATAACGTATAACATTATTTTTTTTAAAATTTTTTTAATTTTTTTTATATAAATTTATATTTTTTTCTTAAATTTTATATTTTAATATTTAATTTTTTGGATATTTGACTTAATAATTTATTATAATTTATTTTATACATGGTTGACTCAATTTCATACTTAGTTGACATGAGCATTTTGTTATTTTTTAATTAACATATTTTTTCAATATGTTACATCTCACATGACACTATTTATTTTAATAGTATTTTTTATTTTGGTTTTTTAATTCAAAATTTATGCTTCTTTCTTTATTTTTATACTTTAATATTTGATTTATTAAAGATTTGATTTCATAATTTATTGTGATTTGTTTTATATATGATTGACTTGGTCTATACCCAGTTGACTTAATTTTTTTTACTAAATAACTTTTTTTTTAATTTTATTTTTTAATATTACTAAATAACTTTTTTTTTCAATTTTATTTTTCAATATTAGATTGGTTCAAAATTAGTCTTAATGATTTATTTTGATTTGATTTCTATAAAGTTATCTTGGTCATTACTATTCAAGTTATGAGTTTGGTCAGTTAACCCAATTAACTTTAATTTGCTTTGTTTTTTTTAATTGGTTTTTTTTTTCTAGTTTCACCCTTTAATATTGAGTTGATTATGAATTAGGTTTCATGGTTTGTTATAACTTATTTTTTATAAGGTTATCCCTGTTTTATGACTCGGGTCATGTGTTTTGTGAGTTAACCTGATGAGATTCAGGTTGTCTTATTGTGTCTTATTTTTATATTGATTTTTTTCAATTTTATTTTTCAATAATAAGTTTATTAAAAAATATGCTTCATAATTTTTTTTAATTTACTTTTTATGAGGTTATCATAATTTTATAACATTGGTTATGGGTTTAATAAGTTAACCCATGTTGACCTAAGTTATATTTTCCATTTATTTTCTATCATATTATCTAGTATTATGAATCGAGTAATAGGTTTGGAGCTCGTTTGTTTACGTCGTTGCGGCTGCATTTTAATTAAAACGCAGTTTGCAGCCGTTTGATAAAGAAAAAAATTGATTTACTGTACATGTGTCCCACACAATTTTTACGATTGAAACGCAGTTAATAAAAAGTAGAGAAATGCTGCTTGTTAATTGCATTGTTCAGTAAACAGTGCAATTAACATGGACAGTGCAATTCACTGCACTATTCACAGTGAATTGCACTGCTCACGTGAACAGTGCAATTCACTTGCACTGTTCACAGTGGATTGCATTGTTGATACATTTTTTTTATTTAATTTTATTAATATTTTTTTAAGTGTTAATTTTATTAATATTTTTTTAAAAAAACTAGTTTAAAGTGAATTAAATTTATTTGCACTGTGATGTGAACAATATTTTTTTCTCGAAAAACTAATATAGACTAAATTAAATTCACTCGCACTGTAATATCAATTTTATACTTGATAATATTTTATCTAATTTTATTACACGCTTAAAAAATTATGGAAACTATAATTATTATCGAATAAATTTTATACGTAATGTAATTATAAATAGTTTAATAAAATAAAAAAAATATTTTATAACTTTAATTTCAAAAGCTTTTTTAACCAAACACATTAAACTATTTTTTCTTCAACTTCAATTTCAACCACAGTTTTAACCAAACATCTATTTTTTCAAACCAACCTCAACTAAAAGTACTTTTTTCAAACCACAACCACAACATCTACCGCAACACCAAACACACTCTTAGTAGGTTAACATATGTTGATATTGTTTTTAAATAATTTTTTTCAATTATATTATTTAATACTAGGTTGATTAGAAATTGAACTTCACAATTTATTTTGATTTGTTTTATATGAGTTTATAATAGTTTTATGATCTGAATCATCGATTTTATAGGTTAACTTTTGTTAGCCTAAATCAATCTAATATGTTTCTGTTTCAATATTATATTTTTTAAAAAGAAAATTGTCTTGAATTTTTATAAATCAAACTATATTTTTACTAATTATTTAAATTATTTTTGAAATTATCAAATTAATCAAATCACATGAGATTAACTTTCACATTATTTAACTTTTTTATACTAAAATGACATTAGCAATTACTATATATTTAATTTGTTTATTTTGTATGTTCAAGGAACGTATCTACCATGCAGAGGAAAAGGCTACACCAGTTATGAGCGTTATTTTTTTAGTTTCTTTTCTTTTTAATTAGGATTGATTTTAACTCACAATCCTATTTATTTTTATAGTTTTATTTATTTATTTATGCTTTATTTCATTTGAAATCCTCAGTTTGAATGCCTCGAGTCCTTCACTTTCTCACAGTGTTTAATGTTCTGTGTTCGTTAATCGGATTATCGAAGAAAGGGTTTTGCCTTTAAATGGTCATATGAATCGTTTGCATAGGAGTGCATTATAAGTTTGAATGACTTGGTATTAGTCACTCTAAACGATTAATTAGCTTAGGTTAGG